TATATAATTGGGACGAAGGAAGTAGTAATTTATTTATTCTAAATCAATGACAGTAATTTTAAAGGACCGCAAATATAATTGAAGGAACATAAATCATTACTATTATAAAACAGAAAAACATGCATTATCCCGGTGATGTATATAACCAACCAATCATCGGACTTCTTAATTTTAATATAAGACTAATTACGAGAAAATAACACTTTGTAATCATTAATTATGTCTAATAATGAGACATTAAAGAGCCTCATTCATGCACTATTAATGTACTACTAAATATGATTACTACCGTTAATGATAGTCAAAATCTTATGGAGGTCCGATAAAAAAGTGAACACAAAAGCAAATTAGAATGATTATATTTGAATTAGTGGACGGTCGACTTTTTTATTTATCTCGTAACTCCAAAATAGATTTAGACAGTAAATAAATAGTTGATCCGATTACATCAATCAAGTTAGATTAATTATTAGACGTAGTTGAGGGTCTTTGTGCATTGGAAAAATCCATTTGTATAGAAATGCTTTTACAGAAATTCACCAGAATACTAATAATGAGGAGCCCCCACATGTATTAAAAAAATAAAAATATTGTGCAGGACCCACATTTGTGTATTTTCTGCCAAAATGGCTTCTGTACATGAAGCACTGCTGCCTGCTCTTGTGCATTTATACATTTTTACAGCGAGATTCGTTTAGGTTAACTACATTGCCCTCACAATATTTCATATTATATTTAACTTTTAAATAAAATTTGACTTGCCTTTTTTGGATAATTTAGAGCAACATATTTCACGCATTTATTTATTTATTAATTAACACATGATAAAAGTCAAGAAATTAAAATCACAGCCTTATCAAGATTTGATTTTTTACTCCAAAAGCAAAGTCAACCCAGATTTTAATTTTTATTTTTTTAACAAGAAAACTCAATTTTGGAACCATAAGCCAGCTCAGTTTTTAGATATATAGTTTTGGAAATAATATTAAATTGTTAATATGAAGTATCATTTACATTTTTACTAATTTTTATTATCCATCCGACAACAAAAATATAAGCAAATACATATATTCGGAATTAACTTCAATACTAAAATATATTATAAGTTTAATATTATTTAATTATACTAAAGCATTTCCTTATTTTAATTATTCAAAAAATATTGATACTAATTCATACTGTTTAGTTAGTTTATTCAACTTAAAAAATTTTGAAGACAAAAAATAAATAAATAAAAATAAGAAGGTGCCTTTTAACGTGTATGCCCCACTGTAGACTGTCAAAATAGGTTTGGCCATCTTTTTCACATCTCCTTCTAGTTTCGATTTTGCTACGGGTACATCACGGTATACATCACGGTGTACATCACTCCACATGGGGGGTGGGGTCCACTCAAATAAAAATATATTATTTCAGTGGGTCCCACACTCCATGTGAAGGAGGTGTAGACTGTGATGTACATATCTTGATGTACAAGTAGCATTTTCCTTCTAGTTTTTATACTCGCATCTAGACCAGTCTAAATCCTTCATTTTTCTACCTTTTAGAACATTTTTTTTTTCAAATTCAGGCCCCGAGCTCAAATGTCGGAAGGAGAGAGTTAGAATATACAATAAAGTCCAACCACTCGTGTATTCCTATCGTAAATTTCAAATTATTAAAGTCATTAAAGTAGTGTCTATTATGACAATGACAAAAAAATTCATTTCTAAACCATATTTCAAATCAAGTATGACATTCGAGCTAAACTGTTGTTGAATTCTTGAAATGGATCCACGTGTTTAACTACATCCCCATTCTTTCTTCTCTTTAACATAACATTCATCTAATAGGAATACATTGCTTGGATGGATGTACCTTTAATTTCCTCGTCGGTCTAGATAAAGAAAAAAATCAAACTCCTTCATGTACGTCACATGTCCAATTACGATGAGTTATAGAAAGCTTGTTATGCAACTGTTGACATACAAAAAGTGTAGTCCAAATCAAGAAATGAAGCACAATTGAGAAATCCAGGACGAAAGTCCAAATAGGACCATTAGTAAATGCAGTAAAGGCCCACGAACAAAGTAACATCATTGTCCAAACTTGCAAGACGCCCAAAATTTGAGCGAATGGAGTGCCTTACGATCGCCCAGAGCGATGATCTCATTCTCGCCCAAACCCTTGAGTCGCCCAGGAACTGAACGAAACTAAGGTGTTATGGTTATCCAATACAGTAGTTATTGAAGCGGTTATTGAGCAACCTTATCACACCCCACGATCCAAGAATCCCGGTTGTAGGCAGTTTAACAACAAGAGTAATGGCAACAGTTAGAGACGGCAGTTGCATAACAAGTCAGCCATCATGAAGAAAGATGGTAGTTATAGAGCATCAAGCAGTTTCCAAGCAGTTTTCACAAAGAAACTATCAAGGGAGTATAAAAAGGAAATGAAGACATAGAAGAAAGGACCCCGAATCAAACACTCTCAACATAGAATATGTAATTTCAATTTTTTAGTTTAACTTTAAAACACTTCTTTTAGTA